AATAGTTCTTGTAACAGTATCATTACTAAACCACCTACACAAGATGTTGAATTTTATGATGGTTGTGATTTTTTTTTTTTTGTTTGCTCTTTTTCCTGAAGAAGCTGCAAAAATAGCACGAACCTAGATTGTGACCTCAGGCATTCTGCAGAGCAATATGCCAAAGCTCCCACATACCAAATGTTTGCAAATTTTAAGTTTGGGATTGACTATGTGCCAATCTCTCTTCAGCTGTGGGCACTTGATCCTGCACCAAAATCACTGTTGACCTTTTCTGATATTTATTATGTCAGTATGGATTTTTATCATTGTTTGAGCTCCTGACACAAAGCAAACAGCTGCTATAGCATGTTTTTATTCATGCAAAGTATGAATATGGTAATCTTAGTCTTCCTATTAAGCTTGTCATTTCTCCTTCTTGGATGCTTGGTTAATGGAGGTAGGTGATTCTGCCTTATTGCCTTCATCAGCTTTCCAGGGAAGATTTACTTGCACAGATGAACACTAATTGTAGCTTATATTCTCTGGATGACTTAAGCTACAAGTAGAATTATTTGAAATACACTACTTACGTACTATCCCATCTCTATGGTTTTAAAGTACTTAAAATATTTATCACATCAGCTAGCTGGATTGTCAATACTGCCTTGGAGTTACATGTTACATTACAAATACTGTAATGCCTTTAGATGTGGTATTCAACTTAACACAGAGTCCCTTACACTGACCAGGGATTATTCAAGCCTCATTTGTGGGTCTCAGCTGTGACCCATACATACTAATGGCCTAAGGAACCAGGCAGACACAAGAATTGTCACCTGACACTAGGTAAAGCAGAAAGATTGTCTCTTGCTATGTATACATACAGAACCCAGCACAAAGAGGCTGTGATCCAGACTGGAATTCCAACCTGGAACACAAATAATTATGATTACTCTTACAGTTAGGTCCCAAATACCATTTACAACGAGTGCTCTTGAGAATCGATACTTAACAAGTGGTTAAAGTAAAAATCAGAAGTTTTGAAAAAAGAACCCACATTTAAATATCAAGAGTTTAGGTGAGCGAGAATAAAAACAATTAGCTGATGTGGCCTTTAAAAGAACTTTAAGACTAATGGCAGAAAGTATAGCTTTGGACTGGTTATTTTCTCAGAAGAATTCACACAATTTCTATGATAAAAGCATATTGGTTACACTAATCCTTGCTGTCTGGAACAGTTTGCAGCACTTCAGCCAAGAATGCAAGTGATCTACAGTCCCACTCTTCTGCCCTTAGGCTAGATGCTTGCTCAAGTTTAGAACTGTCGAAATCCAGTGAAAGATGAATAGAAAACATAATCAGTGCCAACTAAGTCACAGAAAACATGCATGACAGGTTATCTTCACCAGACTGGCTGCAGACTCAGACCTTTTAAGTCAATATTTTGGAAGTATATATGTATCTGTCCTAGAAAAAGAAACTGCTTATCTTTGGGAGAGCAAGAGAGAATAAGGCTAAAGCATAAATGTTCAAATACCAGCTGAAAAGCTGGGTCTAATTCTGGAAATTTAAGTTACTGGTTCCCAAAGACATAGTTATGCATAGAGACTGAAGCTTGCATATAAAAAGAATAATAATTATACAGTCCACAGTACCTGCTAGGAGAGATTTTTCAATGTTACATTGCTTGAGAGATACTGTTTCAGGCTAGCAGAGAGGTGTGAATTCCTCCTGAAGCCCAAGGTGGCCACTTCAAAGAAGAGATTTTCAAATAAAACCACATATGTACAGCCCTCATTTGTGCACTCAGTTACGGAATAGTTGGATTATTTATTGTAAGAGCATATGCAAAGAACTTATCAGAAAAGGGCAGAAGAGCAATTATTTACAAAGGAATCTTACTCTTTTTTTCCATCTACAGAGTGAATGTAATAGTAGCTTTATCATCTAAAATATTAAGCTACTATGTAAGAGTCTGATCTTTTCAGCAACTCTTAAGATGACAGGAAGAAGAATCTTTGTAGAACAAGGATACTAGGTATTGCAGGTGTTATTTAAAACACACTGTGAGAACAAATTGGACTTGGTTAAATGACAAGATCATCCTGAATCTGAGTTTCTTTCAAATGTGGTGTCCTAGAAAGAAAGAACCTGAGCTACTGGTCTCTCTTGATCACTATTTTTGTTTGGAAGAAAAGTCTTCCCAGGCACAGAAAGAATTGCAGACTTTAGGACCTTATCTATCTGTGTGGCTGTAAATTGGAAGAGGCTGTGTTGGACTGTCTTATCAGTTATTCTGCAGCAATCCACACAAGAAAGTTCTTGCCTTTCCTGCTCGGATGTGAAAAAAAAAATCTACTATTTGCTCAAACAAGATTCCTGTGCAAGCAGGTTTATAACGGTTACTTCTAGACAACAACTGGGTGTTCGAACATTGCTAGAAGGAGAGTCTGTGGTCCTAAAACTGCCCTCTAAGCTGGAGTTGGGTATGGTGGTAGGTTCCTTTGGAGAGTAGAACTTCCTGTCATAGGAGTTTTGCTTCTCTTTTGTTTAAGTAATGTTTCAACTAAGATTGTCCCTCCCATAAAAATTGTCATAAACTAATTGGGAATTCTGAGGGAGAAGCAAGAAGGGGGGGTTAAAATAGTAGTTAAAAACCAGAGCTTTTATAGGAATATTTGGGGCTAACTACATGAGACATACTTTGCATCTTTTGTAAGGCTGGTAGGAGAAATAAAAAGACACTGAGGACAAACTGAGAATCATCATATGATTAAAATAAATATTTTACAAAGCAGTAAAAAGGCAACAGTATCTTTCCAAATTAATTGCTCTTGCGTTCCAGGATGATCAAGTTTCATTGAGTCTTTGCTTAATGGAACTGCACCTAATGACACAGGCTGTAGAACAACCTCATTCACATAAGCTTACATTTCCTTCTCCTCAACATTTAAGATCTCTATTTTGGGCATAATTGCTTTCAAAGTTCTCTCCTACTCTGCTCAATTCATGGGACTATGGATCTGTCCCATTAATTCTTTCTTTGTGCATGACCATCTGGGAGATGAGCAGATGTAGACACTGACCAATTTATTGCCAGGATTAAAAGAATTGTGGAGAAGCAGGTGGTCAGCTGGAATTAAAAAGACAGACCAGACAACTTAAAAAATCATACATTTGGGAGTTGTGATATGTATGTTATGAGGGCTGGCAGTAGCACAGGAATTCTGTGTCTGTGTGTAAGTTAGAGCTTTTCACAGCTCTAACCAGCTGAAAAACTTTGCCTCATTGTATGGAGACTGACTTACACCCACTTTTTTACTCCCTGTAATTATCCTTCTCCATGTTTCTGTATTTCCTGTCTATACTTTTCTCAGTCTTAGGCCTGACTCTGCTCCATGTTCCTTTCTTTACAAGCAGTGTTTATCCTTGGTTTCCTTCTCCAGTAAAAAAAAAAGATATGAAGGGACCTTCACTGAAACTATGGCAGAAAATCTAAGCAAGGAGATGTTCCTCTTCATTGCTTCAATTAAGATTTTGCTATCTTTGACCATACGGTGGTCTGTGCCCAAGTTCGATTTATACACATTTCTTGACCTGCTACATGATGCTAATACACCATATTCAGTAAAATATTACAATTAATGGAACAGTAGCACACAATGAGACAGCACAATTAGCACAGCATTACTCCCTATGCACACATTTATGTAAATTATGGTTGTCAAGGTATATATTTATATGCATCTCAAGGTTCAGTGTAAGGAAAGACTTGGTGAAAAGGCACACAGAATACCTGAAGAGGAAGAAAAACTTTACATTACTTAATTAAGCAAGTTTGTGAATAGTTCAGTTAAGCAAGAAGGGGACTGCTTCTGGTCTGCTGATGGGACATCAATGTATTCAGAGAAGTGAAAGGAAACAAATGCCATGAGAACTAAGTGCTAGAGCTGAAGATAATAGTTCCTTCCCCTTGGCTGGGTACTGTGAAAGGTATAAAGGCCATGTGGATTTCAGCATGGGATAAGTACAGTAAATGTGCTCTTTTTTTCTGTTGTCTTTCTAACAGAGTGGTTTATTTTGGCTTCTGTAAAGAAATAGTTCTATTTGCTTAGGCTGATTTTGCTTGAGCTTAAGAGAGCTTGTAATATGCATCTAGGCAGGCTGTCAACCTCCAAACCAAGATACTGGAATACCTCTGCACTTACCAGCACTGCAATATATATTCTGAGGGCAAGAGGAGAACAACAGGGCATGTCTCTGACTCTGAAAAGCTGGCAACACTGGAGCCTGGGAGAATTAAATGGTTTTAGCAGTGTGTTAGCCAGGAAAGTGCCCTGGCTTGTCACAATGTAATGGGGAGCTTGTGATCATCTCCTTCAACAGCTACTCTGAAAGTGTCCTTTCTTGGTCAAACTACCAGGACTTTTTCAAGAATCTGTGGGAAATGGGCATAGGTAGAGAAAACTACTTTATCTGGATATTTCAAATCCAGAACCTTTTATCAACTCATTGAGAGAAGCAAGCAGTAACTCATTTCTATTCATGTGTATAAATCCATCCCCTTCATCCTCCTCGCTGGTCCAAGTATGAACCTACCTTCCTTCATTTTCAGTGGTAACATGGAAAAATTATACTGAAAGTGATAATCAGGTTTTATTAATAAGAAGTAATATAAAACAAGTTCTTCTAAGTATCAAATACCAACAGGTGCTTGGATGGTAAGTCACTACAGCATCCTCATAATTCTTTCTAATCTACTGTATTGTAAAGTTGTCCCAAATAATTAGACCAATAAATTGTATAGATACATAGATAATCAGCATTGTCAATCATTCTATATCAAATATTGTTGAGGAAAGAGCTCACGAATAGAACAATTACATTCAAACATCAAAGACTGAAAGGAGTGGAAACATAACAAATTCTCAGATAGCTCTTTTAGCCCTGTTGTGCTGTTTGCTTTACCCTTCTCCCTCCCCCACAAATATAGACAGTTAAAAAATTCATGAGAATACCTTTGAACTTGTGAAAGACGGCCCATAGCTCAGCAATGTCAGTGGCAAATGTTATGTCTGTGTCGAGGACAATGACTCGCTCAAGATTGGAAGGTAGAGTCTTAGTCAGGACCAACTTCATCAGCCCGTAAATCCCAGAGTAGTGTTTGTTGGGGATCCAAGACACTTCCGACTGACGGGAAATGGGAAGTGGGAAAAAGGAAGAAAAATAATCTTCATTAGAGAGGGAAACTCTTCCTGACACCAGTTTCTTCTTATAGTGGAAGATCTTTGAGTACCAGCAATACAACAACATAAAATGCCAGGTGGAAACAGTCATCTGCTTTTCAATTAACTTCAGAACCTGTAAAATATGCTAAAGTTTCTGAAAGATTGAAAATAAAAAAGTTCTTTGAGGCAACAGATTTACACAACATAATTAAAATTAGTTGAGCCTTTTCAATCTGGTATAGTCCTTTCTGAGACATCCATGTATCTTAATAAAATTGAACTATATTTTTAATCCAAAATTTCATGTGTATTGTACATTATTTTCATTTTCAAACCAAACAAAAACTTCTGTGTTTGCCATTCTCAGAATTTTCTGACTCTGTACTAGAAGTAACAAATGTAATTTTTTTCCTTTTATATCTTACAGATTTGGAGGTCAGAATTTTAAAAGACCAGTCATTTGGAACAATGGGCCAGAAAACTGCAAAAAAAATTAAAATGTTTCTTTCAAACTTTAATTCTCCTTAAGACTTTAACCTTCAATTTGTAACTAGTTACATCACACAGACATGCTCAAAATTGGAGAAAGTGAGTGAACATTTTTAGTCACATTTTTTGTCATATATTGAAGAGGCAATCCCAAGCTTTTACATTTCTTAAGTAAGGGCTAAAATAGCTTCTAAAATAACTTGGGAGATTCATTACTGGCCCTAGGATTTTCCACGAGCTACGCTGCATTTTCTTTCTATAAAACTCAAGCACTCAAATACTCAAAGTGGCTGCTGAAAGTAACATATAGAAGTTTTTGAAGAGTTCCTATTGCCCTGTCTGAAACACCTTGTTTAATGTTTTAAAGGGCATGCCCTACAATTCCCAGGTTTTAAGTTTTCCCCCAAGTCATGCTCCCATTAACTGCAACTAGTGTTTTGTCTGTAGGGGACCTGAGTGAGACAGATTTAAGGATTTGTCCTGGCACGTTATACTTCAGAGAAAGTAGGTAGAATCTAAGTGCATTCATAAAACTGAGGTGATTTATTCAGTTATTTAACTGTCTCATATCTATTCATGGGCATTGTAAAGTTCATTACGTGAAACAGCTTTTGGACAGAAGAGCTCATTTCCTCCAAAATCCTTGAAGAAAATCTACCCATAACAGAATGGGTTCCTAAACTTTATTTGGAAGTTGGTTGAAGAAGTGCTAATACAGTGGTTGAAGAAAGGCTAATAAAAGTTGCTTTAATGAAGTAACAAGGGCTCTGCTGATATAAGCTGGCCTGTTCTATTTCCTTCAGAAAGCCATACAACTTTCTTCTGTATTCTCAGGGTTCCTGTATCAGGGCAGAGCTTTTGGCCACTGCTAATTTCATTTAAAGACACAAGGCACTAAGAACAAACCCTTAAGGAGAAAGTCAATATTTTACGGGGAAAGGCAGGAAAATCAGGTTATTTTAAAACAAAACCAAAACAGATTGTGCAAACTGAAGTGTGGAGATTTGTTTAGGTTTTTTTGCTCTTTTTTTTGAAAGGCACATCATCTTGGCAATCCATTTTTATGTTCCTTTGTGTATATAATTCATGTGTAATCGCTTGCATATACAATCTGGCTGCCATTACCATCTACATAAGTCTATGTATTATTTACTTGTGCTGTGTATAGGATTTGCACTATAGAATACCAGAGGTAACATAAGCAAGGATTGCTAGCATTCTGCTATAAACAATTATGAAAAAAAATTAGAGAAGTAACACACAGCTTGGTTTAATTTATGAGTTTCAAGAGCCATCTATCCTATTTTGTTCTTTCTTTCTTGCTGTCTGCAATTTCTATACTGCTTAAAAGAGAAATCCAGTTTCTGCCTCCCAGATAGACGCTAATATTAAACCTCTACTTAAATAAAAATGAACCTCAGTGCTCCCCAGAAATATCTTCTATGCGTGTAGCAGATAATTTCAAATCCACACCCTCAAAGATCTAGTTATTTGTCGTCCTAGCTCTCTCATATGATGGTCCTAGGAAAGGACAACCACATCAAGGTGTCTGCAGAGTGTTTACCCCAAACTCTGCATATAATTCTGAACACTTGACATCCTTGTGCTAGACAATCCACGGAGATTATTTCTCTAGTCATACTAACATGGTAAGAGTTAAAGTAATTTGAAGTCTTGATCTTGCTTTTATTATTACCCATCCCTACGTTATTAATTTTGGATGGCATGCTTTTAATTTAGTTAGTTCAAATGCAATATTTCTCCAGAATAACTCATAATATGCTTATGCAAATAAACCTAATACAGCAGGAGTTCAGGTATCTCATGAATAGCCTGAGACAAGCAGAGAAGATAGAAAGTGGCTGGAAAAGTAAGTCACTTTCAAGGAGCCATTGCTTTCCTTGCTCTCAAGATTCCCAATTTCTAGCACCACTGACATGTATCAGTGCAGGGAGGAGATCCCTGCCTAGCTGTTCCTTTTGATCTGGCAAACAAAATGCAAAAGGACTCATTCCTAAAGCCTGAAAGGACCACTCTGGAAAATTAATGGAGCAGTGCAGTCCCTATTCCAAATGGTCCACCACAGCTGGCTAGCACGTGTTTGATCTGAGCATATGTTGAAGCTGGAACCGTCAACTGGTTCAATGTATTTCAAGTTTTCTCTCCTCTAATGCAGAGTTGTCTAAGACATAAACATGGGTCCTAATTAGTCCCCAGCATAATTCCTTCACGGCTTTACTGTTCATGAATAATGTAACAGTTCCAAATTCAGGCCAAGGAAAACTCCTTATGTCACACAACAGCACTGTAAAGGCTCACTCTCTGGGTATTACATATACAAAGAAATACAAACCATGGTTGAATAGGTGTTTGGTAGTTAAGTGGCAGTTTGAGACAATTAAGGCGGCTTAAGCACAAACTCTTGCAAAATTCTGCAGCCTACACGTTGCCTGCTTTGATGTGTCTGGTAATATTTAGCCATTTCATTTATCTAAATGTTGTCTAAATATTTTCTGTAAGGCTTAATACAATTTTTTCTCTAGCATAGTTAAAATGGCCCATATATGGAACATGTGTGAATAATCTGCTCATTTGCCTTACAAGCTAGATCAGAGTTGTCTTCAGAGAACAAATACTCCTAGAAGATATGGCAGGAACAGAAAAAAAGTATAGTTAGTAAAAGAGAAAAGTGAAATAAAATGGTGTGACAAACTTTGCCATTTGTATAACTCAGTTCTGCAGAAATAGCACACCTTGGATCTCTAGTGCTCAAGATCTTGATTTTTGTTCATGAGAGGAGAGTAAAGAAAGGTATTTAAATGGTGCTGACAGTGATTTTTTTTTTTAAGTAAACTAAGAGAAATATCTTCTCTCTAAAGATCTTTCATGAGAATCACCTTTATTCTTTCCATAATTGAAGACAGAAAATACACTAAATTATCTAAATTATTCAGTGTTTCTGACTATGAATACAGAAATTACATGCTCATGAGTCTGCATGCTGTACACAACTGATCACTCTGGTAAATGCCAGAGAAGTGGGAGCAACAGCCTCCATGTCCAGTGATACTTTACCAACCAAGCTGTCTTCCCTGTGCTCAAACTATCTCTGGGAAAAGTGGCTAAACCACAGTAGCTGTACACAGCCTAACAGCTTTCTCACAGTTGCTACCACTGCATAAATGCTCCCTAGACTTAGCAGAAGTGTCCTTTTCATGGAATATCATAGAATGGTTTGGGTTGGAAGGGACCTTCAGGATCATCTGGTTCCAATTCCCCTGCTATGGGCCGGGACAGGAGAGAAGTAGTCTAACATTAGCTTAAAATCAAACGTCCCAGATTCTATGACAGAGTGAGTGGAAAAGAGCTGCTCCTTCTCTGTGAATAAATCACACAGTGACTAAGTGACTACATTCCCAGGTACTTAGGTATTTTTATTCTTAAAAACACTCAAGTCTGGTTGCCCAGACTGAGATCAAAGAGCATAACTCTTCTACCAAGTCATGACAAATATATTCAGCCAGACTTTGATTCTTACACTGTACTTCTTTAGGGAACTGTAGTCATTATTGTTTTCCCTTAAGCATGCTATTTTTTCCTTAGAAATAGGTGATGGGGAAATTCGCCCAGGCTTCCCAGATGAACACTGATTGCTCTGTAAGTGTAAGGGGCAGGTGTCCTGAGCCTATTTGAAAGGGACGAAGACTTGGTCCTGCAGACTTAGCAGAGAGAAAATTTGGAAAACATTATCAACATAAACAAAATGACAGCAGGAACAGTGACTAACAAGAAAGAACAACTTATGGGTGCCTGTATCATGTCAGATCAAAATTCCATTGAGGTCAGTAGCCAGCCCCTGATAGTTAATGGTTGCAGGTGCCAACTGAAGAATAAAAAAACGCAGGGAAATTCTACAGGGAAATTCTAAAGTGATACCACCCCCATATATATTCCCATCTTCTGGCATTTTGCACCAAATTTTGGAGCTAGATGGGGTAATTTTTATGTGAACAGCTTTTAATGGATTTTTCATCTGTTTATTTAGTTGATTTTTTAAGTAATTGAAGTTTTTAGCAACCATGACATCCTGCAGCAAAGAGTGCTACAGCTTATTATTTTTTATTATTCTTCCTTTATTATTATTTATTATTATTATTCCATTCCAGAGAAGGGACACAAAGATGATCAAAAGGCTGGAGCACCTCTGCTACTAAAACAGGCTGAGAGAGCTGGGGTTGTTCAGCCTGGAGAAGAGAAGGCTCTGGGGGGACCTTATAGTGGCCTTCCAGTACCTGAAGTCCCTACAGGAAAGCTGGGGGGGGACTTTTCACCAGAGAGGGCAGTGATAGAACAAGGGATAATGGTTTTAAACTGAAAGAGGGTAGATTTAGGTTAGACATCAGGAACAAATTTTTCACTGTGAGGGTACTAAGGTACTGGGATAGGTTGTCCAGGGAGGCTGTGAAAGTCCCC